GAGCGTTTCCACCTGCTGCTGGCTGAACTCCAGGGATTCTCGCAAGCATTTAAATTCCCAGTGAAGAATCTCCACCAAGGACAGCCTTGCATCGACTGGACAATCGTTTGTCGATTGACTCTAGGATGTCTGCAATATCTTTGCTGGCTGGCGATGTTGTGCCGGGGCAATCTGCCGGGCGACATCTCTTCGATGACGGCATCTCAGATTTGGCCGGGGAAGCTGCACTCTGGGCCTTCTTCATCACGAGATCCTGGAAGCACTGATCGATGTACTCTTGGAGAGCCTCTAAACTCTCCCCGTTGTTCTCCAGGGTGTTGGAGATGATTTAGACAAATATTGTTAGTTATAAGACAATCGATACGTGTATTTGGTAAAATTGAAGCTTAAAGGAATTTGTTCAATTCTAAGCTACCATTCGTCACTTCCATCACTTACCTCTCCAACAGATTTCCTAACATGACAAAATAAAATGTACTTTTTCTTCCGACTAATTACGTACTGCTGAGTTGAGCTAGCACGGCTAATTAGCCTTGTAGCGTTGTTGTGTGTGTGGTGTTAGCATGGAGAGCTCTACTTTCCCAGCTAACCTTTAGATTGTTAGATTTGCTGCTGTTTCGGGTTGTGCGGTCAGTGCAGAATATTTCTACATGAATTTAAGTTTTAAATGTGAATTGTAGTATTGTTTTCTTTTGTCCCATGTCAGTGGATTGCAGAGCGTAGTGTAACGCTGTCAGTGCAAACAAGAATAACAATATGCAGTCATGTTTAATATGAAACGTTTACATGTATTTAACTACAAGCTCAGATGTACCTAGTGAAGTGCAGCTTTGGGGAGTAACAGAATACATGTACCGCTGTTATGTAGTTAAAATACAGAATATGAGTAACTGTATTCTGTTACAGTTACTGTTTAAAAAGGTGATATTCAGAATACAGTTACTTTGTTGAAATAAATGGATTACACTGTGGTCTGTTCCTATTTCATATGTTAGGCTGTCCCCTCTCTGTTTTTGGTAATTTGGTAATTCCACACCGGTGGAAACCCAAACAAAACACGCATTAACCTCCTGAGACCCGAACTCTTTCATGGAATGCATCTTTAATTTCTCTTTGGACTGACTGGGACCTGATGAATGCAAAAACAAAGAATGATCTTTTTACCTGGTTTTGCTCTACAAGGGCCTGGATATACACATATGAGGACATTTGTTTTAAATTTTGAAAGAACAGTGGCAGTATAATGTCCTCGTAAGAGATATCAGGCACTTATTGAGCAAAATTTAGTATTGTGGTCTGGACAACCCAAAATATGATGTCCACATATGTGGACGCCAGGTCCTGGGATGTTAAGAGGCTCTAATGCCTGTGTCTCAATCTCGCGGCCCATGTCACCTCTACTTGCGGCCCGCATAATGACATGATGAAATATTTTTAAAAATTATTTAAAAAATTATTTAATATGAAGGCAACAGGCAGAGTGTTACAGGTGTAGCCCTAAAGCATGTAGCCTGATGGGTAGTGTAGTCCATGTTGCAGGGAGAATGGACACGAACCCGACGTATTAGCCAGAGGTCCCTTTACTACGGTTCGGAGCCGCTGACCTGTTTTATATACGAATAGTTTTCTATACGAGATCGCTGCAAAAAGTGCAGCCTTACCTAATGTCCACCTACTGTTACTCATTTATATTAAGATTTAAACATCTAGTTGGTGTTGGTGTGGAGAGTAACCTTCAGTAATAAATCACAGCAGTAGGACATTCGTGTAGTTGCAAAAAGCATGATAATATATTAAGTAATCCAAAGTATTCAGAATACATTACTCTCATTGAGTAACGTAACGGAATACAGTACAAATTATATTTTGGGGCATGTAATCTGTAGTGGAATACAATTTAAAAGTAACCTTCCCAACACTGGTGAAATGATGTACGATGTGCTGTTATTCACTTCATGTTTTAAAGCTAAACCCACGTTAGCAAAATATATTGTTGATGTTTATGATGATGATCAAATAAAAGCTAAAAAGAAATCATTATCAATATAAAGAGGTCGAATACTCTGTTTGACAATGCTGTGTGATGGATGAATGATTTAGATTTACTAATACAAGTCAGTAAAATGTATTTTTAAACCACAGCAAAGTGCCATACAGATGATGTATTCCTTTAATTATTTACACAAATGAGCATCAAAGAGTAAAATCTGGGAACATAGAACAGAATTATGAGCCCTTCAACAATAAGCAGTTACATATCAGAAGAACAAAGGGAACTTCCTGTCTCTGACATAGCTCATCTGCTGTTTGTATAAGAGTTAAAAAGTCTATGGTGTGATTGATTTTCTGTGTCTCTGTATGATGGAGAGAGAGGATGTTCCATAAAGATGTTGTAGAGTGGGTAATCACAGCTATTCGTGATGGCTTCTTTAATTTGCTGTGTTCCTGTGTGGCTCCACGGTCGCAGCTGATTAACTGTCACATGCTTTGTCTCTCACGTAGGACATGGAGGAGGCCGACCTGCTGAAGGAGAGGCTCCAGGCCATCATGGTAAACAGCAGTCCTACAGTCTCTGTAGTTTTAGTAAAAAGTTTCCAAATAATCTGTTACATACTGACTTGAAGTAAAGTCATTTTTAAATTTGGTGGTGATGGGTTCCAATCCATTTGTGTAGATGGCAAAGATAGCACTAAAGTTGAATATGAGTGTTTTTCACCATCATATCTAGAGGGGCAGAGCTGGAAGTCTGCCATCAGAATGATCTGATTTGTGTCCTCATGAGTTAGTTAGTGACGTCAGGTGAGTTATGATTTAGTAAAACAAACCAGGAAGTAATTCCACTGGTAGCTTTAGGCTAGAAACAGTGTGAACAGTAGGTCCATCTTCATAACAGAAGTTCACGTTTTAATACAACAGACGCTTATGGAACTGTAATAACATGGGCAGCTTATAATCACACTTAGTTTTAGAGTCTGAGTAACTGTTTTGTCTTGTTTTTGTCCTGCTGATAGTTCATATTAGCTTCTGAAATGTGAAAATTATATTTTACAATGAATGACTGTAGTGGCATTTGTCTTTGGTTTTTACCAAACACAAATGAACAACTTGAGAAATCGGCGATGTAGGATTTTGAAATTCATGCCATAGGTGCATCTACTAAAAGATCCAGATGAGTTTGAATCCTGGTTACCTTCACGTCTATGTCCAAGGTGAAGGTTCCAGGGTTTCTGAACATCTTGTGAATGCGATGATTAAAGAAGGAAGTCGCCTGGCACTTCACATTCATGCTATAGGTGCATGTTTTAAAAATGTCAGTTGAATCCTGGTGACGCCGACGTCAAGTAGAGGCTCCAGGCCATCATGGTAAAGAGCTCGTAGTCACACTCGTTGATGCATCATATATATGTCAGCAAAACACCTGTACATCAGTAGATGTTTCTCATGGTGTAAATCTCTGCATTCGTGTAATTCAGAGCTGTGATATTTTGCTTTAGCTGGATGTCAGGATGCAGAACTAAGAGTTGTTACCAAAGCACAGCCTGAAAATAAAACATGTGGGTGTGTATTTGCAAGATGGCGTAGAGAGAAAATCCAGCCAGAAAAGAGTCGCTGTGCAAGTCAACACGCCTGTCAATGTGCAGAGAGGCTGCATCGCTTTCATCTGAGGCAGACAGATATTAACATAAAACACTAACTGATGATGACATAAGGTTCAGTGAACACTTATCAGCACTCACTAAAACTAGAGCACAGACTTAATGTACGAAGCAGCAGCCCACATCGTTTCTTAGTTAATTCTATTAAATATGGCGTCAGTAGCACAAGCACAGGTGAGAGGCTGCCTGTTGGCACACCTGTCAGTCAAAGCGATGGTGTCCCTGGTAACTCGTAGCTCTTCCAACATTCAGGTGAGTTATAAAAACAGTTATGAAGGAGAAGATGGAGTCCAGGCCCAAACCTTTGTAGTGCCAGGCTGTGAACGTGTTGATTTCTTGGCTGAAGTGAAACAATCGAAGCCAGCTTTAGTTGGCAGCTAGTATAACTGAAGTAGTTCTGGCACTTCTGTGTTGGCTTTATTGTTCATCCACAGGGGCTTCCACTTTTTACAATATCTAACTTAGAGTTTTACTATATTTGTTATTATGTTATCAGTTTCAGCTTAACATGTTTCATGGAACTTTAATGAACTTTAACCTCCTAGGACCTGCGTCCACATATGTGAACATCACATTTTGGGTTATTTAAACCAAAATACTCAATTTTGCTCTACAAGGGCCTGATATCCACTCACGAGGACATTATACTGCTACTGTTCTATCAAAATGTTAAACGAATATCCTCATGTGTGGCTCTGATTTTTCTTAAAAACAAAAATAAGGTAAAAAAAAACCCCCTGGTAATTCTTTGTTTTTACATTCATCGGGCCCCAATGTGCCCAAATATCAAAGAGAAATTAAAAATGCTGCTGTGGAAGAGTTTGGGTCTTAGGAGGTTAATGTGACTATAGCTAGTCATGTTGGGGCCACAGTTTCAAATAGCATGGTCTTTCTTCTGTAACAGACAAAAACCCACAGGTTCACTGTCTAGATCGTGATAGTCCCTCTGATGGATACCAAATCAGCCAATCAAACATCTGAAGTACTCTCTTTGTAATCATTGAATCTTTGGGAGCCTTTTACAGCTCAATATTTAAAGTGGAAATCATTTCATGATTATTTAAAGCCAAGTAATTATCTTATATTAACACTGTTAATTAACAATGACCAATTAATTAAATTAACAATAAGCAATTAACTGAGTAATGTTACACTGAAATTTAAGCCCAGAAACCGAGCACAATAATGTAACCTATGCCCATGAGGTGAAGTCGATTAGTAATAGTGTCGATAATTTGACTGATAGTGGGTTACAAATTGTTACCAATGTTTATATTATCTGTGCATTAGGATTTTTATATTCTGACTTAGCTACCAAAGTCATAATAATAAGGTAATATTGATTAATAATAAACATTATTTTTTCCATTATTTTAATTCCAACAGGATTAATGCTGGAATTATAATAACAAGAAAGAGTACAGATAGAAATGAAAAAGGTATCGCCAACTGAGCACCTTTAAAGCATCAACATACAAAAATGAGAAAATACAGATACATAAATCAACAGTCTTCTAGTAGTGTGAGTATGAATGTGACAGAAAGAGAGAGACAGAGAGTGAGTGTCTCGGTGTGTGTCTTTAAAACAAATGCACTTGATAATGAGGGTGGAAAGGTGCAATAATGTCCTCCCAGGTCCTAGAGCCAGATGGAGACGGAGTTAGGACAACAATCACAGCCATCCTCAGCTCCCAAGAGTACTGATGACCTGAGGCCACACGTCTTGGTGACATCCGCGTGTCCCTCCAAGCAGGAGGAGGGAGGCCACAGATGGCGTGCCCACAGTCAAAGGGTGAGAGTCTCCGAAGACCAGAGACAACAGGCAGTCAACCCCTCCAGAAACTGCCACCCTGGTACAAATCAAGAACAGGCGCCAAAGAACCACCCGGCATCTGGCTGCCCCTTCCTCAACATTGAGAAGATCAAAGCCAGCCCTAGCCACCAAGGGAATAGGCCAACAAGCACACCTGAACATCAAGCCACGCACCCCGGAACCAACAATCACCCACATCCCAGGGAGGGGCAGAAACATCCAGGGGGGAAGCGGTGATGTATGAACGGGAGGTAAAGGACTATCCTTGGAAGGAGAGAGCCAGTAAACCACTGACTCAGTGGGCACCCCATTCCCAACATCCCACCACAGAGCAGGAACAAGTTGGCCTATGGCCCGAGTCCAGGGCAGCAGCACCACCCCCACCAGAAAAAGTAGACTGGAGTGTTTAGAGGAGTCCCAAGACTTGGGGTTTAGACCACCCCTGCCAGAGACCAGGTGACCCGGGGCACCTGGGCCCCAGGTCCCACATCTACCCTTGCCCAGAAGACTGGGGGGCAGCACCTGCCACCACAAGCACTCGTATACCAAGACCCACCCAACAGCAACCGCAGCTGTCCAGCCCCCACGAGGCTGGCAGACACGGGGAGTCCCAGAGAGCATCCTTATCCACCTGAAGGGCATACAGGGAAACGAGACTAGAGCCGACCACCCCCACTAAGTAATGGAGTTTATCAGTGAGGACCAGAGAGAGACAAATTCATCCATTGTTGTTTTTTAAAGAGACAGACATTCGGTGAGTCCCGGCATCCTCAAGGCTTGTGCCTCCCAGCTTTGTGTTCATGCTGAGTCTGAGTCTGCAGAGGGTCCCAGTGCTGTGAAGACGCCATGCCTCGTTCCTGTACGAAGACACCACATCCCAGTTCCCCCCAGGATTACAGGCCTGTGCCACTGACTTTCCACGTCATGAAGACCCTGGAATGGTCTTCATGACCATCTGCCACCTATAATCAGGCGACATCAGGCTCCCCTTCAGTTTCTTTACCAGCCCTGCCTTTGAGCAGAGCAGGCCATCATCTACCTGCTCAATCGAGTCTTCACCCATCTGGACCAGCCGGCGAGCACTGTGAGGGTCATGTTTTTTGACTTTTCCAGTGCATTCAACACCATCAGGCCGACCCTCCTGGGTGATAAGTTGACAGCGATGCAGGTGGATGCTTCTTTGGTGTCCTAGCTGACAGGAAGACCACAATATGTGTGTCTTCAACATTGTGTGTCTGACAAGGTGATCAGCAACACAGGGGCACCACAAGGGACTGTCCTCTTCACTTTCCTCTTCACCCTCTGATGTCATAAAGAGAAAACATTGTCTCAATGCTCAGGATTTTCTAGGAGTCTGTTGAGGTCAGTGCCATCCTCTATGCTGTTGCAGGCTGGGGCAGCAGGTTGAGGGTCACAGATGCCAACAGACTCAATAAACTGATCAACAAGGCCAGTAATGTTGTGGGGATGGAGCTGGACTCCCTTAAGGTGGTGTCTGAGAGGCAGGTGTTGTCCAAGATAAGGACAATGCTGAACCATACCTCCCTCCCACCCACTCCATGACGTGCTGACCAGTCACAGGAGCACGCTCAGTGAGAGGCTGAGATTACCCAAAAGCAACATTAAGCGACTCAGGAAATCATTCCCTCTGTATCTGTGTTATCTCTCGATTATCTCTTTGCACAACTGCTCCATCTAATGCACAGAACACACTGCAACAGTTACACCCTTTGCACACTTTAGAGTAAAATGTCGATCAAATATATTTAATCTCTGTAATATTCTGAATATTTATAATTGGGTTAATTGTATATTATTGTATTATTGATTTAGTTCAGTCTGTTCTTACTATAACCACATAATTTCCTTATGGATTAATAAAATATTCTGATATTGATTCTGATTTTTTTGAGTGTGTAAGGTCCATTTGGACAAACGTTGTCCTGTGTGGTACGTTCTGTAGAGAACTTTGTATTGTTTAAGTCGTAAGTTGGGCTTTTAGTCATTTTGAGCTTGAGCATATTTGTGTCCAGATGTTTTTATCTGGACTGGTGGAAAGATCTTGCTGCCACTTAGCCTTTGGGAGGGAAATTGATTAGTCAATTTTAAACAATAGATTATAAATTATTGATGACAATTTGGGGGTATAGTTCTTTAAAAAAGCATGCTGCTGTTAGGATGCCTGGGTTGTTGGCCCAGGGTTTTGAGTTTATTATGTTATTTATCATTTCTAGTCTTTGGTTTCTTTGTTCTGTCTTATGGTTTATGTCTCTGTGTTCTCTAGTTGCTCTGTCTCCTCTGTCAGCTGTATCCTGTCGTCAAGTTCGCGTCTCTGTGTTTGTTTCCTGTTTTACTTTGAAAGTCTGTGTCTCATGTAAATGCGTCTGGTTTTGCTTCCTTTGTCTCGTTAGGCCTGATTTGCCCCAGCTGTGTTTCCCTCCTGTTACCCATTCCTGATTGCTCCCTCTGTGTATTTAAGCCCTGTGTTTCTCTGTGTCCGTGTCTAATCTACCCTTATCTTGCTGTGTGGTCTGTCTGCATAAGTTTACCTTGGAGTCTCAGTGTTGTTGCTTTTTGGAGTTCAGCATTAAAGCTGTATTTAAGTTCACCTTTTGTCTCCGACTGTCTTCACTTTGGGTCCTCTTCCTGCCTGCGCACAGCCTTCACATGACAGCTTCCCAAGTGGGTATTTCTAGATTCAGTTGACAGGGATTCAGATTTTCCTGTATGATGGTTTTAGTTGCAGATATATTAAAGAAATTCACCTTTGCTGATTTTATATTTTGATCAAATTTCTTCAAATGAAAAAAACTTTGGGTCTTGTATGATTTTTTATTTATTTATTTATTTTGTCTTATTCTCATGCCACGATGAAAATGTTAGTATTTTTCTAGTAGTGAGTATTCAGTGATGATTTTTCTTTAGTTTTATTTTAAAAACTTTTTAGTGTACATGGGATAAGTGCAGACTTTTTAAGAATTGTAAAGCATTCCCACCAGGCTCTTAGAAAAGTGTTGAGGCTTTTAAAGCTATGATGATATGTTGTGATGCTTAATAAAACCATGTAAGAAGAGTCACTCTGTGTCCCGTACAGCTCTGGACACCCTGAAGGAGTGGTCTTCACCTTGGTACCTTCAGAATTTCATCTTGGCTTTTTGCAGTTGATGTGGTTCTGTTAGTTTCATCAGGTGGTGACCTTGGAATGAGAATCAGCACCTCGAAGTCTTTTAATATGGTTCTCAGTTGGAAGAAGGGTAGAGTGAGTTCTGACCAGCAGTTTCAGTATCTCAGAGTCTAGTTCATCAGTGGGAAGAGAGTGGCCGTGAGATTTACCGATGGGTTGGGCGGTGTCCGTGGAGACGATGAACCCTCACCAGCAACAGTCTCAAGGCACTTCATACTGTAGCATCGTTAACTTCAAATACAAGTTACTTTGAGGCAACTGTTGTTGTGATTTGGCACTGTAAAAATACAAATGAATAATTTAAAGTGAGTTGAAAATATATTTTAATCATAAGCTCTGAGCAGTTACAATGAAGTCATGATACAAGCAGCAGGAATGGGTTTCACTGGTCCTTCCAGAGGGACTCGGAGAGTCCACGCTCTTCCACATCGAGAGGAGGCAGCTGAAGTTATTCAGGCACCTGAGCTCCTAGATGCCTCCTGGGTGATGTGCTTCAGGAATGATCTACTGGGAGGAGGCACTGGGGCAGACCCAGTACCTGGTGGAGAGATGATGTCTCTCAGCTGACTTGATAATGACTCTGTGTCCTCCCAGATGAGTTGGAAACGGTATGAAGGACTTCTCTGCTTAGAGTGCTGTCTGGACTAAGACAGTCATAAATACTAGCAGACATCAACAGGCAGATCCACTTTTACTCAGGCTTAATTCCACACTGATCCTGGATCTGGGAGCTAATATTAGTGAGCAGTCTGGCTTAGTTAAAAATAAAGGAACTAAGCAGCGTGTTATAAATGTTTGCCTGATATCCAGGATAACAACGGCACAATTTATTCTGTCCAATGTATCCGATCACATTTCTAGATGGCTTCATGACGTGACCTACCTGTTGCTTGAGTGTGTGTGTATGTGTCTGTCTGTCTGTTTGCTCTGCTGCTTTTTGTCTATTTATAGCTGTTGCTGTCCGTCTGTCAGCTCAAGGTTGAAGTGTCAGCACGAGGAGACGACAGGTGGAATAGTTTCCATGCTGTAATTGTGCATATGATGCAAATGTATGTTTGACCTGCCCTCACAGGACAAAAGAAGAATCCAGGAAGAAATTGCCAAGAAGAGGAGACAGATAGAAGAAGAGAAGTTAAAACTCCAGTACATAAAGGTATGTCTCTGTTTTACAGCCAAAAAGCAAAAATATCCAAAAAATGTGTCAGTGTGTAGCAGTGTACACAGGGAGTGTGAGGAAGTCTCGCATGAAGGTTTAATTCATTTACTGTTATATTTCTCCACATTTTCTGATGCAGTCTCAGAGCTTTATTTCAGATATCACTGCAGTAGCATCGTTCATGTTATAGCTACAGCTGTTCCTCTTCAACACAACTGGAGGTGTTTCATACATTATTGTAAAAGTCAAATCTTCTTTTTTCATTCCATCGTTCCAAGTTTTATTTTCATGTTAAGAAAAATTGGGCACACATCTGAAGTTTTCTTAAGAAGCAGTT